GTTTATGTGTGCCTTGCTGCAGGATCCGGGCTGGGAGAGCTGCAGGCCAGCGGGGAGAGGAGCTGATTACAGCCAATTCCTATCCCTGTTTACCCTGCACAGCCGGTTTCATTTCCTTAATCCCCAGCCCAGCATTTCCTTTGTTGTTCTGTTTGGAGGGGAGGGATCCTTAGCTGCAGGCTGGTGCTCGCTGCAGGGAACGCGTTCACACTGCAGACCAATGCAGCTGCCCGCTACCTGCCCCTGCATGGACCAGCTCTGCTTCTGGGTGCAGCCAGTGATGCTCATGAGGGGATTGGGGCCTCACCTCGGAGGTGGCCTGGGACCACCATCAGGGTACACATGGAGACCCCTGGCTGCTCAGGGAGGACCACGTCTGTGTGTATTTGCAAACAGCTCTGCCAAAGCAACCTGTGTCCCGAATTGCCTTCTTCTGTTGCACCCCCTATGGCCTGGCCTGGGCCAGCTTTGGGGCAAGGAATGCCAACCCCATGGCTGGGATGGAATCCTCAGGCTGGTGATGCCATGGTCCAGCTGTGTCACCTCCCTGCCATGTGTGTGTGTGTGCTGAGCTGGGCGGATTGCTGGGTTTGTTCATGACCTCAGCTTTCCTGCTCCATGTCCGGACAGTCCCCTAGGGAATCTCGTGAGTCATGAATGCCTGTGGAGTGATTCCTCCAGGGTGTGCGTGAGATGGCTTCTCCTGTGCTGAGATGGGGATGGCTCCCTGCTCAGGGGGGGTAAGGTGGTCCTAGGGGACACCCGGCCCCCCAGGCTGGGCTGGAGCAGGGGCTGGACAGGCTGCCTGCCACAGTCCCAGGGTGGAGAAGAAGGTTTGGAGAGTGGGCAGCAGGGCTGGTGGCCCGAGAGCCTGGACTAGCCCATGGTGCCCTTCTGCAGGTCCCTGCCCTCCTTTGAGACTGCATCTCCTGCAGTGGCAATCTGGATGTTCTGCCTTTGCTGCTGAGCCCTGAGCTGGTGTCTGATTGCTGGCCAGTCTGGGCAAGCTGACTGGCACCTCGTGTCACTTCATGGGGTCCCTCCAAGGATGTCCTCACCTCCTCTGGCCCAGCCCCATGGGCAGGCAAAGTGCTGGGATAGGAAGCTCTGCCCCATGGAGAGAGATGTGCTGGGTCGGGGCTGTGTCCCAGCTGCTGATGCTCCGACCACACTAGGGAAGGGTTTACAGCAGAGCTCAGAGGACCGGACCTGCTGGCACAGCCTTTCCCTGCTGCCGCCAGCTTCTGAGCATGGCTGTGCCCTGGTGACTCAGCTGGAGCCGCCGCTCACATTGCTCACACTGCACCATCCTTAGCTCTTCCCAGGCTGTGTTTCCCAAAACCACACAGCCGGAGGGATGAGGAGCCCGGTGCCGGGGTGCCGGATGCTCAGCTCCAGGCTCTGCGGGGCTGGGGCCCATGGGGATGACAGTCAGGCTCCAAGTGTGCCCGGCACACGTGTGTCTGTCCCAGCACAAGGCTGGAGGCTCTGGCCTGTACTTGCTGCCTGGTTCCAGCGCTGAGCAGGAATGCTGAGCAAGCAGCACTGCCAGGGCCTGCAGCCAAGGGCTGGCCTCCTGCCCTCCGGGGAGAGGCGAGGGGAGGACGTGGCTCCAGGCCTAGCCAGCAGTGAGAAGAGCAGATTGGTCAGGGACCCGCAGTGCAGTGCGGGGCTGTGCCGATGGCTCAGCTGAGGCTTCCCCTGCACCACGGCAGGGAACAGGGAACGTGCTCTGAGTGCTGCTGGGTCACCAGCCTCCAGCCAGGGGCTGGGTGATGCCAGACGGTGCTTGGACAGGGAGCTGCAGCCTGCACCAGCATGGGCAGGGGCTGCCGGGAAGCCTCCTCCGCAGGCTGTGCTCCAGCAGTGTCAGTACCATGCTGACAGGTTAGCCCTTCCCAGGAGGAGGCTCTGGGGTGCTGCAGGGTGTCAAGCCTGTCCTTGCTTTTGTTTGCAAAGCTGTCCTGTCCCTGGCGAGCTCTCAGTGACCTGGAATAGCCCATGCAGTGTGCCAGCCCTACCCTTGGCACTGCCGGTGTTCAGCCCAACGTTCCCAGTCCGGCAGAGCAGGCAGGCAGTGGCCGAGGGGAGCAGAGCTGCAGGCAGCCCCAGCCTCCCTGCGGTCCCCTCTCCTAAGGGCTGCACAGGGATGGAGCTGCTCCCCACCCCACTGGTGGCTGGGAATGCTGTTTTACCTTGAATAGTGGTGGGGCGGCTCACACCAGTTCCAGGTTTGCCAGACCTTTACCAAGAGGGTGTTCAAACCCTGGCACAGGCTCCCTGGAGAGGTGGTTGGTGGCCTAAGCCTGTCAGTATTGAAGAGGCACTGGACAAAGTCTTTAATAACATGCTTTAACTTTTGCCCAGCCCTGAAGAGGTCAGACAGTTGGACAAGACTGTAGGAGGTCCCTTCCAACCAGAAATATGCTATGCTACATCATGCCACGCCATGCCATGCTATCCTGTTCCATTCTACTGGAGCACTGTGTGCAGTTCTGATGTCCCCAGCCTAAGAAGGACATGGAGCTGCTGGAGCAAGTGCAGAAGAGGCCATGAGGATGCTCAGGGGCTGGAGCAGCTCCCATATGGAGACAGGCTGAGAAAGTTGGGGCTGTTCAGCCTGGAGAAGAGAAGGCTGCGTGGAGACCTCATAGCAGCCTTCCAGTATCTGAAGGGGGCCTATAGGGATGCTGGGGAGGGACTCATCATTAGGGACTGTAGTGATAGGACAAGGGATGATGGGTTAAAACTTAAACAGGGGAAGTTCATGTTAGACATTAGTCAGAAGCTCTTCCCTGTGAGGGTGCTGAGGCCCTGGCACAGGGTGCCCAGAGAAGCTGTGGCTGCCCCATCCCTGGCAGTGTTCAAGGCCAGGTCGGACACAGGGGCTTGGAGCAACCTGCTCTAGTGGGAGGGGTCCCTGCCCATGACAGGGGCTGGAACTGGACAGGCTCTAAGGTCCCTTCCAACCCAAACCATTCTGTGATTCCATTCAATTCTAAATGCTCAGTATCTGAAAATCCACCTTGCTGTGAGGGGTAGGTATGGTCAGTTTGGTGTCTCCAGCTGTGGTGGGTAAGCCCAGACAAGTGTGGTGGGCACTGAGCAGCCAGTCACCTGCAGGCTGGTGGCACAAGGAGGATGAGATGCACACGTGCAGAGCAGGATGGGTGGGTGGGTCTGCTTTGCAGTCCCCATGGTCACCTTGGTGGTGTGGTGGCAGGTTGGCAGTGAGCCTGCAGAGATGTTGTGTTGGTGGGCCCAAGGGCTGACCCTTGGCATTGCTGCAAGGACTGGGTGAGGGTGGCTCAAGCAGCTCTGTTCACCAAGAGCTTCCTTTGAGTGCTGCATGGGACCAGCTTCTCCCCTGTTTTCTCAGTGGGAGCCCTGCAGGGATGTTGGCAGAGCACCTTCATGGGGCAAGGCACAGCACTTCTGCTTGGACTTTGACCATACACAGCCTGGTGTTAGTAGATGAGGTTTCCTCTGACCATGCAGCACGACCTGACTGCCCTTGGAGAGCTTTTGGGGTGAGCAAGGTGGTGACACCTTGTGGATGGGATCCAGCCTACCTTGATCCACACCAGATATTGGATCAAGCACGGCTCAGTGGTGCTGACCACAGCAGGCATGTGGTGGGTCATCCTGATGGGACAGGGTTCATGTGGCACTGGGACCAGCTGGCTTGATGGATCCCTCTCTGGCTATCTGTGTTGGCCCTTTGGTCTGCCCTTCCTCGATGGCCACAGGACCTGCTGTCCTCTCTCCCACCTTTGCATCACTTCTTCCTCCCTGTAACCAGGCCAGAAGCTGGGACGCCCTGGTTCTCGCCAGGTGTCCTTGGCAGCAGCACTCCGCTCCTTGGTGTGGCCCCAGGAGAGCAACAGTGGTGCAATGATTTCCTCATCACTGATATTGCCCTACTCTACTGAGCTCTGAGACCTGGTGATGGTCTAATTAGTGCTTTTGCACCACAGGGCTGGCTGAAGCGCTGTGTTGTCCTGTCCTTCCGTGGAGGATGTCTCACTGGGGCTGCAAAAGCGTTGGTCCTATTTAAAACTGGGTTGATTCTGTATGATCTAGGACAGATCTGGGAGAAAGATGGGCTTGTAGGAAAGGAGAGGGGCATGGTGCATCCCCCTAACAGTGATGGTGCTGGGAAAGGGTGGCTTCCTCCCTCCCTTCCACCTCCAGGGATGCTCAGAGGTGTCAGGACTTAGGACCTGGTCTGGCAGGATAGGGTCTGATCCACTGATCACAGTGATCCCTATGATGGTCCATAAGAAAGCACTATGTAACCATGGCATCTGTAGGGGTGTCTGCCTATCTCAATCCCTTAGCTGTGGATGCTGGAAGTGCTCCTCCGCTTCTTCCCTATGGCAGCTGGTGGCTGGTGGGGATGGGGAGCATGGATTAGTGCCTGTGCTCTATTCTCCCAGGGTGGACTTGCTGCTCAAAAGAGTACTTAGCACGGCTCCTGCTTTCCAGAGTCAGGATTGGGAAGTGGGGGGGAAGCAGCGTAGGGCGCTGGGTACCGCAGAGCTGGGAGCAAGGATGCTTGGGGGCTGCTTCTGCCTCTGCCACCGGACAGCCTCGGTCATGTCACTGCACTGCCGTTCCCCTGTCCGGGGGCTGTGCAAGCTGCCCGGGGCCCTTCAGGGAGAGCTGGGGCCTGGGAGGCTGCCGTGGGGTGTGAGGGGTGGTGGTGGGGCAAGCACCAGGGTCCCGCTCCCCGTTGCAAGGCGGGTTCTCGAAGGCAACGGCAGCGGTGGGGTTGGCGGACCCCTGGGGGGTGCCGACGGAGCGGCGGGCAGGGCTGGGCTGGGCTGTTGGGGATGGGACCCCTGCATGGCCATGGCGGTGCCGGTGCCGGTGTCAGCAATGGCGGTGTCGGCAATGGCGGTGTCGGCAATGGCGGTGTCGGCGATGCCGATGTCGGCAATGGCAGTGACTGCCGTGTGTCCTCGGGAGGGAGGCGCTCCCGGCCCTGCGGCCGCCATTGGCGCTGGCTGCTCCGTGGTTTCCTGCCGAAATCACATGGCTCCCGCGTTTCCATGGAGAGAGCCGGGGTGGGCGCTGCCAAGAGCCTGCACGAACTCCCCGCTTGCTCCCCGTCCATGGGAGTGGAACAAAGGGGATGCACCGAGCCAGGACCGCTCTCGCCCCGCGCATCGCCCCCCGCCTCTCCTGGGACATGTGAGTGACACCGGCACCTCCGCGCCGCCGGGGAGACACCGGTTACAGTGGGGTCAGTGGGGAGCGAGGCTGGGAGCGTTAGCGGGGTTACACCCTGAGGGGGGGGCCATGCCGCCGCCTGCCACCAGCCCCGGGTGGGCACCCACAGCTCAGTGACAGCGGGCGAGGGGGGACGGGGACGTGGCCGAGGCTCCGCTGCTCCGACCCGTCCGTCGCCCTGCGGCTCCGAGGGCAGCTCCGCACCCTGCGGCAGGGCCCGGAGGCACCCGGGGACGGAACCGGGATATCGGGGCGAGCATCCCCCACCCAGTGTCACCCAGTCCCACGCCCAGTGTCACCCCGTGTCGCGCCCAGCCCCTGTCCGGGGCTCACTGCTCTGCTCATGGGTTTGGGATGGGGCCGCTTGTCTGCAGAGGAGCCTTGCCCTGCCCTCCTCGTATCCCTCCGGAATGCTGGGCAGGGGGAAGCCGCCCGTGTCCATGTAGGGCCGTGCCCGAGCGCCTGCCCGACGCCAGAGCCAAAAGTCGCGGGGGAGAGGCTGCGTCCATCTCCCCGCCATCGCCCCCGCGGGGTGACAGCACCCCGGGGTGGGGGTCTCCTGCGGGCCCTGGGCGCTCGGTGTCAGCTGCGTGCTGCCTCCTCCTCCCGGGTGACAGAGGGAGGAATGCTCGGAGGAATTAATGAGACAGATCTCGCTTTGTTGCTGGCCGGATCCTTCTATCTCCCAGCCCTCCCCAGCCTGCCAAGAAGTGCTTGGGAAGGCCTCACAACGTTAACTCCTTCCCTGCTGCACTCCAGCCATCCCAGGGGTTGCAGACAGCCTCAGTGGGTTTTAGCTTTGATGGATTCCCAAAGGAGACTACAGGGGCCACTGGGAAGACTTGACGCCTTCCTGTAAACCCTGTTTTGGCCAAGGACCTAGCTCCCGGCTGGTTTCTGAGGAGCAGCGGTGCTGTGTCCCCAAGCAGGGTTGGGGCGTCATCCTATGACGCCACCAAAACCAGGCACCGAAGGGCTGGTCGGCAGCAGCGTTGCCGGTTCTCAGTGGGTGGGGGTCCCCAGTGCATCACCACAGCCTCCCCGCAGCTGTGGTGGGAGGTGGTGTGGTGGCAGCTGAGCCCCCAAGGAGGACACAACATGATGGGGCTGAAGTGGGAATGTGGCAGGGACGGGGGCTGGGATGGGCAACAATGAGGTGGGTGTTAGGCTGCGACCGGGGGGATAACTGTGAATCTGCAGTGGTCAGGGACAGTGGTCAGGGTGGGGGCCTGAGACTCCTGGCCAGCACTCAGGAGTTTTGTAGTCTGGGTTGCTGTGGGTCAAGCATCATCCAGTGCCTGCAGCTACCCCAAGAAGAGCTCAGCAGTGGCACAGGGACATCTCCCATGGGTGAGATGCTGAGCTCCAGCCTGCACGAGGGGCCATGGCTCGGTGGGCACCGGAGCTCCTGCCATGGCTCTGGCTTAAAGGACAGGACCTGGCAGACCCATTGTGTGAAGGGAGCTGGTGTTTGGGGTCCCCAGGGAACAGCGCAGGCAGCCCAAGGCCTGGCTCAGCATGGGTTGAGACTATTGCCAGGCTGGGACGAGCTCACTGCCTCGTGCTTGGGGTTATTTATAGGGCTGCCATTTATATCGCTTCTATTTCTGCTGCCGTGTTGGGACGCTATGAGGGGGGAGGGCTGGAGGCTGCTGCGGCCCTGGTGCCTCTATGGCAAGGGATGCTGCCGCTGCCTTGGTGCCAGCCCTGCTGGGGCTGAGCCTGCCTTGGCACAAGGGCTGGTCCTTCTCCAGCCCTCGGGGCATCAACGCTGTGGACAGAGCTCACACAGGATCTGCGGCACTGGGTTGCTGGGAGGTTTTGGAGCTGGTTTGTGCAAAAGTTAAAGCCAGAGAGGTCAGCTGCAGCCCTGTGGTGCGGGATGGACAACTGCAGCTCTAGGACCTGGCTTTCCCGGAACATGGGTGGCTCTTGCCTGGCCACAAGTCACTTGGTCATTCACAGTGGTGGAATGTGAATTCAAGCCACGGCAGTGGGTCTTGTTTGGGGGAGACATTATAGCAGGGCCTGCTGCGGGAGGATGAGGGCTGACAGTTTTAAACTGAAAGAGGGAGGTTCAGGCTGGAGGTGGGGAAGAAATGTACATTTGGGGTGGTAAAACACTGGCCCAGGTTGCTCAGAGAGGTTGGCGGATGGCTCATCCCTGGAGACATCCCAGGCCAGGCTGGATGTGGCTCTGGGCAGCCTGGTCTAGCAGAAGGTGTCGCTGTCTGTGGCAGGGGTTGGAACTGGATGAGCTTTAAGGTCCCTTCCAACCCAAACCAGCCTGGGATCCTGTCCCCTTGACAGAACGGTCACCTTGTGCCCTCCTTGGCCAGGAGCTCTTTGGCCCCTCAGCAGCCTGGTGCCCATGTGCCGCTTTTGGCCAGCAGTGCCTTCTGCCCACCGTGCACCCACCGAGGCTGCCTGTGCCCCGCCATGCCACATTCCCAGCAGCACTGACGTTCCCAGTCACACACATGTGCGTGTTGTGCTTGTCCACGAACAGCCTGAATTACCTTCCACATCACCTTGGTCTTTGGTGCTGGTGCCGGCAGGGGTGCGCACTCCTGGGGCTGGCGGTGGCCACTTCCCGGGGTGGGTGGACACAGTCCTGGTGCTGGTGGTGCTGGGGCCACCAGGAAGGTGTTGGGGAACCTCCCCAGGCCTCAGTGCTGGCAGGATGTGGGGTCTCAGAGACACGAGTCCTGAACCCCAGAGAGGGCAGGGAGTGGGAATGTTGTCCTGAGGTGCCTGGGTTTTCCTTCTGCGTGGCTGGAACATGCGTATCTAAGCACTGCTGCCCATGGAGGCTTTTGTTTGCATGTTCAGCTGTCACGGTTGGGATGCTTGGGGCAGCTCCCCAGGCCTGGTGAGAGGAGGGCATGACATGGAGGACATGTGCTTGGGGTGTTGTACCCCCATCTCTGCTGCATGGGACAGGTGGAGGCAGCCACCAGAGGTGCTGGACCATCCAGAGAGTGACTGGCACCCAGTTGTCCCCTTCCCTTCATCCATCCTCTGTCTCCAGCCAGGCCATGGATATCCATTTAATTTGATTACTGCCCAGGCCCTGGCAGTGCTGCCACAGCTCGTGCCCTCCCTCTGTCCTCCCTTGGCAGGGTGTCACAGCCAAGAGCCCTGCAGGGTGCTGCTGGGTGCTATACACCCGTGTCTTCCTCCAGCACCCTCTGCCACCCTTTGAATACACAGCCCTCACCTCCTGCCTGCTCCTGGTGGTCTCCCCATGGGTGATGCCCAGGGTGGTGATGTCCCATGGAGCTTGCCTGCACTGCCTGCACTGGGGCTGCGGGCAGGACTATGGAGAGGCAGAGTCCCCGTGAGCTGCCTCCCCTCTGGTAGGGAAGCCTGGACATCCCTTTGTGGCACTGAGGAACAGCTCTGATGTGGCTCTGGCAGCTTGAGCAGGGCTTTCTCATTAACCTTTAATGAGAACAAATGAGCTGGCATGGGCCGGTGCTGCGGCAGAGGCTTTGCAGAAGGCTGGTCAGTGCCAGGAGTGATGTTTTTCCCTGGGAGAAGCAGCAAGAGGTGGAAAACTGGGTGGTGGTTCCCTGCCCATGGCAGCCACTGGGTTGGGGCTCTTCCCATCGGTGGGGAGAGGCAGGGGGATGCATCCTGACCAGGCAAGGGAGGAGACACGGTCTTCATGTAAGTTCTTGAAGGCTGGGGTGGAGATGGGTCCCCCCCACAGCATGGTTTGCAGTGTGCTGGACTTCTGGCTCCCCTCCATGACACACAGGCAAGCTTGGGCAGGGCTTGGAGCAGCGTGGTCTAGTGGAAGGGGTCCCCGCACGTGGCTGGGGGTTGGAACTTTATGGTCCCTTCCAACCCAAACTGGTCTGTGATTCTATGACACTGGCATGGAGGCTGCAGGCAGGTGGGTGACAAGATGGAGCCCTTTGCCAGTGCTGAGATCGTTTTTCCTTGGATGCAGCAAACCAGCTCTTCCCAGTGCTCTCCCAGCGAGGCTGGTGCTATGCACCCATGTGAGCACCCACCGAGACACCCACCCAGGCACCAGGAGAGAGGGTGCCCTGAGACCAGCACTCTGGTGGCAAGCCTGACTGTGGCTGGCTATGCATGGGTGCCCATGGTAGGGGAGCCATGTCACCCTACAAGGGACCCCAAGCACAGGTCCTCCCCTGCAGTGTGCTGGGCCCATCCTTTATAGGGACCAGTGAGGAGTGAACCAGCTCTGGGCTGGGGGAGCAGCGGCACGGCTGTGTCACCCCCTAGGCAGGGGGGTAACTGTGTCTGGGAGCACCCCATCTCCGTGAGCACCCCCAAGCCTCTGCTGCAGTGCTTTTCCTCTTGAACCTGGCCTGACCTTGCTCTAAAAGCAGCAGCAAACAGGAAAGGAGCATGGAGGGAGGTGGCTCTTCCTGCTTCAGTGACGTGGTGACAGCAGCTGGTCCCAGCCTGCATGGAGTTGGCTGCTCCAGCCTCCTGCATCTGAGCTGGAGGGGGTGCAGGCCTGGGTACCCCAGGACTGGGACCTGTGCAGGGACTGATAGTGTTGGAGGGCAGTGACATCTGTGCCACAAAGTCCCCTGGTTGTTCAGGGCATCCCTGTGCCCTAACCAGTGAGCTGTGGTGCTGGGAGGTGCTGATGGATTGGCATGGAGGGCAGGTGGCTTTGCCATGCTGCCTCATGTGAGCTGCACCCCCTGGATTGTGTGACACCCTTGCTCCCATGTGGGAATGGCGCTCAGCAGTTTGAGGAGCCCTGCGAGGAAGTCCTGGCTGAAGCTGGCGCCTCCAAGGCTTTGGAGACACTGGTGACACAAACTGGGGATATATGAGCAAGGAAAACCTTTCCCCAGTGTTGCAGGCTTCCCATGGGTGTGCCAGGGGGATGCAACACCATGGAAAACCCACAGCAGTCTTGTATCCCCCCATCCCGGGGTCTGACAGCAGCCCTGCTCTTCACTCTGCTT